AATTTAAAATCTATCTGATTGTACTGTAGCTCTCACATAATTTAGCAGAAAGTCATCTTGCTCATACAAGCAACCCTGTTAGCGTTTGTGTTAGCACACTGCACACTTTTGAATGGATTTTTATCACCTTTATCACCTTTGTCTTTCTGGGGCATGGGAGTTGAATGCCTTCCTCAGTTTAAAATCTGATAGATTCCCAGTAAACCGAGAGACTAAGACCGGCTATTGATAAAACATCTGCCTTGTGACATTTCTCAAACTGCTCCAAAGTTGGATGCAGAGTAAAATGCTTTAAACCAAATGCCACGATGATCACTGCAATTACCCATAAAAAATATCTAACAACAATAATAATAAGTAATATGATTGACAACCCCAAGTGCAGCATGTGTGAACCAAGGAAAAAATATTGGCTCCACAAAACAAATCAAAGAACCTGAACAAGCTCCCAAATATGCTACATCCCCACTATAGTTATAGCAAGGTGAAAGTGTGAAGCTGATTATTAAAACATTTTTTAAAGAAAATCAAGAAAAAGAAACAATGACATGTTGCTGCCTAATTTAGACATTACATGACTTTAAAATATTAAAATGTAAATAGTACAACCTCAAATGTATTCACCATTGTATTAACAGTTACAACATTTCAAACTCATGTAAAACACGAACCCACAGTACCTGATCTAAATTTAAGGTCTGCTTCTTTCATGGTTATGTTATGCGAAATGTTTTTGTTAAACTTCGAGATCCTGATTGATTTGACTTTATATTTGTCCCATTAAGCTGAAAGAAAAAAAAGAAGACATTCTGTAGTTAATCTTTTTGAAATTCAATTCATTATATTATTTCTTAATTATTATTATTGTTAATAATTAATATTATATTATTTATTATAAAACCACCAACATCGACAAAGGTGCAGCTGCTGTTCATAACCTCTCATTAATTTAAAATACGCTGAACTCTGCCACAGGTACTCCTTTGAGTTTTTAACACCTTCATCACTTTTGTCTGTCTGGGGGAATGGGGACCCAAGTACCCTGCTATAAGAACACAAATGTGAATTGAACATTTAAATTCTGTGATATATACAGTTAATACCCTGATACAACCAGCTAAATACATATATCTATATCAATAAAATAATATTGGTATTTTGTCGCTCATAAACTTATCGGTAGCCAATTATTCAAAAATTAAGAAGCTTCATATTTCGGAAACATCATGATTGGTAAACAAGGAAGTGAATTGTGTTACAGTTATAATCAGGAGAAAAAAGGTTTATTTGTTATTTATTTGTGGCTGCTGCAGTTGAACCCTTCGCAATGGCTGGATAGTTAATGTATTTAGGTATTTCTCTGCAAGCTAATTGAAAACAACACACAGCTCGAAGCCCAGTGGGTGCAGCAGCAGCATTGTCTATTTTGCAATAGACAATGAAACGATCATAGTTTGTAATGTAGGGCACTGTGACTGAGGTACACTTTGATACAGTACAAATAAATGTATTTCCCACAACCTGGACTGTAGTGACAATATTCTGCTGTATGCATGTGGCACGTCTTTGTTCAAGATTTAAAACTACAGTATGGAAAAAAGAGTCCATAACAGGACATTTGATTGCTGATTGCCTTATGTTAAAGCATGACAAATAAGGACATG